CGTCTCAGTCACGGGCTGCTGGAGAGGGAAAACACGTTTTATGTGCTCCAGGGGTTTTCCCAGATGGTAGTGACCTGTCCTGACCTGGTGCAAGGTAGGGAGATCTGACTGGCTGTACCCCTAGTCCTGGGGACCTGCTGTGGTGCTGGTGATGGGGCTGGTCCAGAAATGGCATCAGCCTCTGCTCTGTCACATGTCCCTTGCCTTTCCCATGTTTTAATTTCTGTCGCAGAGTTTGGAGAGCAGCTCCAAGAAAAACATCTGGCAGGAGAGGTCTCTATTTTAAGATCTACTGCAGAATAACAGGCACTTTTGTACAAGGCGATACTTCTCCAGAACAAAAGCTGCTCTTTGAAATGCAGGGTAGGGGGGGAGTGGGTAGGAAATACCTCTGTTGTTGTTGTGGAAAAAGAAGAGCAACAAACGGCAGCTCCCCAAATGCCTGTTTTCAACTGCACATATCACCACGCGGGAATTTGGAGCTGGCAGCATCCCACTGCAGCGTAGACTGAGCACAAGCAGCACAGCTGCACAGTGCAGACCAGGCGGGGGGGCGGGGAATAGCAGAGATGCTGTGGGGTTTGAATCTTTCAAATTAAAAAAAAAAAAAAAAGTCCTTTCTGCATCCATTTTTCAATAGTCTGAGAAATTTCAGAAGAGAGAAGCATCCCGCACCCACAACTCCAGTCTTCCCGGTGAAGCTTGGGGCTGGGTGAGAGGCAGGGGTTTCCACTCAAGGGGCTGAACAGGAAATAGGTTCCAGAAACTCAGGAGTATCTGAGCAGATGTGGAGACTTGGACACCGCCCCCCAACCCCCCTGATGCTGGGCCAGGAAAGGAGAGGGGAAAGGCAGACAGTGCATGGCAGAGTGCTTAGTCATTTTCCCAGGAACTCGCCTGGATGTGTCTCCAAGGCTGTTTATTAATCATGTTATTTATTGCTCAGGCCATATCAGATGCTCAGCATGACCCTAGTGCTGCTGCAGGATCAGCTCTTGTGCACTGACAGAGCCATGTCCTTTTTGCCACAGGTACCTATGCAAAGCAACAATGAAGCCAGCAGTCCCAGATGATTGTGCCTCTATTTGCAGTCTAATCCCTTTCCTAAAATTGCAGTTTTTAGCTTTCTTCTTGATTTTCCACATTAATCCCCAAATCCCCACTTTCTAGGGCTAAACACCCCCCCATCGGTGCCAGCCTTGGATGGGCTGATTCAGGCTTTGTGCTGGGCACTGGCTGTTGGGCAGAGCTGCTCCCCATCTGCTCCTCACCCTGCCCGGGCAACAGCCGATCTTGCCACTCCCCACCACTCCTCCATCTTCCTGGGGACCAGACACTTGGGAATCAGCAGTTAGGTTTACTTAGGTCATTTTAAAGCAAAAGAAGGAAAAGGGGGGGAAAAAGGACAAAAAGCAAGCAGAAATAGACATCAAGGGGAACTAAAGCCAGATGAGACTTAGCAATGATCCCTGTGGTAGGCAAATTCTTGATGCACTGGTGTGTCCTGGGTTGGTCGAACGTGAGGGGCCAGGAGCTCTTTTCCATCCCAGTCCTCCAAGTCTGGCCCCAGGGAGCAAAGAAGCAAAGAAGCAAAGAGGAGGAGGGGCTACCAGTGTTGGAAAGCTGCCCATTCCCTGCTGGTACACCTGCCACAGGTGCCTGTTAAAAGTTCCTAATTTTGTCAGATAGGCTTTGCTTTTGAGAAAACAATTTCATGCTATTGATAAAGGAAAATAAGCCCGTTGGGAAATGCATCATTCCAGTTCTGCATATGCAGCTCCCTCCACAGCAGCATCACCCCTCACAGGGCAAATCTTCTCACTTTAAAGGACCAGATAAAAATGCAGCTGTGGTTTACTGATGGAGAGCAGCAGCCACATCCTTCTTTTTGTCAACAGTTTATTTCTTGGGGGGGGGTGTGCACACACAGTGGGGTTTTCCCTTCTCCAAAGCAACACCTTCCTCTGACATCCGTCAGAGCATCGCCTAGCTCTGATGCGCACACCCCTCTCTCCCACTCCATTATTTTTCCATCAGTTTGAGTCACTGTGGGCACCCCTGGTCCCCTTGTTGGGTGGTGATGTGTCCCTGCCCCTGCACTTGGACATCTCACACATGAGTAACAGCCCGGTGCTGGCACCTGCGGTCACCACAGCTCTGCAAGGGCCTGGCTTTCTGCCCCCATGGACAGGACCCAGCTCGCCTGTGAGTGCCCTCTTCTCAAACCCCCTGTGATGGAAACTGCCTGGCAGCACTGTGACTGACTGCCCTTTTTTCTCTCGAATATCTGTTCACTGTCAGCATTTTTCTTTGTCAATTGTGCACAGAACAAAGACAACTTTGTTCCCTCCCCCCCCTATTTCTCTTCTAAGCTTCCTTCAGTCTTCCTTTCTAGGAAAACCATGGTTCTGGCTCTTTCAACACCTACTCCCACAGGTTGTGTTTTCCATCACCATACGTTACCGTGACGTATGGTGACAGTGTGGAAGAAATGGGGATGCTGAGCACGGACACCCCACTTGCAGGCTCACAAACCAGCAGCTTTCCAACATTTTTTTTGTTTTGTTTTGAGGGCTCTTAAATTGTTTCTAATGGCAATAGTGGCAGTGTGCGTGTCACTTTTTGTGGACACAGTAGAATTTTCCTTAATTTTCCTGTCTTTTGAAGACACCAGAGGGACAATATTTAATATTTTCTTTATGATTTTTCTCACTTCCATTTTTTTTTCCTTTCTGCAGCTTTTAATGTTGGTGTTATCAAAGCAGAATTCAAAAATTAATTCACCAATTTATCACCATATTAAGGCAGTTTTCACTTGAACAGATTGCTCTTACAAAGCACAGATTTTTTTTGAACACATAAGAAATGCCTCATACACAGGGACTCTGTAACCTTTATTTATGTCTTGAGAGTAATTTTTTGTGGTTGCAAGTGCAGGGAAATGCTGGACGCTACTGCTACAGGCAGTGCCACATTAGGAGCAGACAGCGTTGACAGCACAGGGAGAGTCAGGCAGAAGAAAAGGATGTGTGCTGGAACAGGGTCAGGAAACATGGATAGTTTGAGTCCCTCTCCCCACCTTCATCCCAATGGTGAAAAATGGGGCAGTTCATGTTCTCTGTCATTACCCAACCTTCAAATTCAGTTGCTGTGTTTTTGTAACACAACTTATTTTCTCTGAACAGCCATGACACTACATGAAACTAAGACTGTGATTTCAACTACTTTGTAGAAGTGCCTGTACTTGTAGTTCCTGGGTACCTCATAAATGCACCCAAAATTAAAAGCTCTAGCTCACAACGGGCTTGTGGTATTTCACCTACAGTGGCTGTGCATTGTAAATGCAGCATGGCAGGACACTGTTGGCAGCTGATTTCTGCACTGGCTTTGTGACTAGAACCACCCCTCCACCCCCAATTTGCCCTGGGGGGAAATCAGCACAGGCATGGGGCTGCACACCCCACAGGCACACCCGACGTGTGGGCAAGGCATGTGGTGGGGCCACTGGCCACCGCTGAGCATCCTGTGCCAAGGCAGGAGTGGTGGTACCCACGGAGGGCTCAGACCCACCTCGCCTCTCCCAGGGCCAGAGCTCTCAGCTATTCCCACACATTTGCTCCGCAGTGGCAGAGTGCAGCCCAGTCTAACTGGTTTGCACCCACTGTGGACGTGACACTGCTCTGTCCCCACGAACAAAACCACAACTTCCATGTTCCTCTGGTTCCGCTGTCACTCGAGTACCTCTGTGTCAATGGACAGGAAGCCCCAACAGTCTCTGAGCTGTTGTAAATACCGAACCCAACAGTATTAGCCTGGTTTTGCCAAGGTTTGAACAACCTATAGCTGAACTACTTGTAATATCTTCAGAAGATACTGCAAAACCAGCATCCTTTTACTTCCTTTAGACCCGAGGCCCAGATGATGGAGTGAGACCTGTCTTGAACTCACCCTCAGTGTTCCTGGACTGGCCAAAGCAGTTGCAGGGCTTGTGAGCGCACAGTTGTGGGATTTCACCTTTGGAACAGTCAAAGCCTTTCCTTATTTCCTCAGTTCTATGCATGTCAGTCTTTTCAGAGCAGTACTCAGCTTAAAAATCTTAGTACCCTTGATCCCTCACCTCCTCAGTGCTCAGTGGACCTCGCACATCCTACCTAGTTGCTGTCACATCAATCAGCTGCACCAATCTGCTACTGCAAGACAAGGAACTGGCTCTCTGAATTTTGAGACTGTCTCTGAAGAGATGGAGAGAGCACAGTGCCACCATGCAATGACAGCTTCATGTGACGTGCCATGATGTGGCACCTGTCTGTGTGCACACTGCTAAGCCTGTGTGTCACTCCCTGGTTCAGACACCATGGTTAGATGAGCCACAAAATTCCCTGGCTGTCCCTAGGACAAGAAGTGTGTGCTGTGACATAAATGGCCCCAAATACAAGGCCCATGTCATAGCCATCATAGAAACTTACCATTCCACTAAAACACACTGAGAAAGTGTCCTATGTCACCCAGGACAACCCCACAGTGTGCAGCCTCAGCCCCTTCTTCCTGCTGCTACAACCTTCGTACTGGAATAGGGATGCCCACCACACAGACATGTCCATGAGAGAGCCTCCAGCTGCTCATCTCTGTAAGCCCTCAGCCCAAGCCTGCAGCAAATGCACATCTCCAAACCCCAGCTGTGTTATTTGAGCCAGAAGTTGAGAAGGACAAGGGTAAGTCAACTGGCCTTCTTCACATCATCACATCGCATGGCAGGAACAGGAGAGCTTCAGTGAATCATGTATGTATGCATTATGGCATGCTGTGCTTAGGAGAAGCTGTTCAGAGAACATCCGTGTTACTACCCGCTCTGCCGATCAAGAAGCCAAGGCTGTGCTTGCCAGATCCCGTGGTTATTTACTCTGGCACAAAATGAAAATAACTCTGTTTGTACTGGAGCACAAGAAGAATTTAACTCTTACTTTTAAAATAAACATGCAAGCAAGGAATATGAAAACATGTAAGAGTGTAAGAAAATATATTTATTAAATTCCATGGCAATACTATCGTAAAATTGTTAAATACATGCGTATTTTTAGACACCCAAGCAATACAACAGGAGTTACAACAGCCAAGCAAACTAGGTTTAAAACATATGCAAGGTTGGTATCTTAGTGTTAGGTTAGTCTTAAATGTCATCTGCCACACTGGGATATTATTTCCCCAACATGATCCCGCGCTTCCTTTTTTCAAGCATGCATTTATTTAACTGCTTAGCTAATAAATTTTCATGTTGATACACTTAGTTGAATCAGTATTTTACTTGGTATGCTACAACTTCATTAAAGTGCCTTGTGATGATTTTGTTTAAATTGTGAAAAATATTTTTTCCATAGTGGATCTGGAAGCTGGAAAAATTCAGTATCATTCAGCAATAGAAATAGGTTAAATGACTGATTAGATGTAGTGTGTTAGGAAGACTATTTTGCCAGTTTGATTTATTGATTTATTCTCAGAATTAGTTTCTATAGATGATTATTTCAAATTGGCAAACAATATTTTCACTAGTATTAAACAAAAGTCCATTAAAATCTTTGTAAAACCAGAACATAACAAGATCTCTAAACAAATTATTTACGCTGCAAAAAATATGGCATAAAAAAGAACTAAAAAAACATGGAACCTGTTCACAGTATATATGTTAAAAGTTACAGCATTATAGTACAATGTTTTTTTTTCAGGTGACCTGTATGACTCCACCAGCTCTGCTGTTTTGTCCATCACAACAGGATCAAAGTTCAAATTACTGTTACCTTCGAGTAGGATTTCAGAGATAAGTCGATTCCGTTATCTTCTGGTTTTGCTATCCCCTGCTTCACAAACTTTTCTGACATGCTATGAAGTATAAAACGTTGTTCATTTTAAGCCACTCTTGAATCACATTAAGGAAACATTGACAAAGAGATGTTCAAGGATTCTTTTTTTGTTGTGTTACTACTAAAAAGTGTGAGACCTTGCCAGTTTCTATTTTACTTTGTCCTGTTTGAGCTATTTCTCTTTTGAATTTTTCTCAGCCCAAAATAATGAAAAAGAGAACATTTAATTTTTTGCTTTGTCCCTGGGTAAGTTTTACTTACTACATTTTGCCCAACATGAGGCCAAATGAATTGCAAAGATTTTGAACCTCCTAGTGGAAGTTGTGCATACATTTTCACTGGAGCTTGCTTTCATGTAGCAACAGTCAAAGTATAGATTTGGGACAGTCCAGAAACTTACCTAGAGATTTTGTTTGGTATCACATTAAAAAATAAGGATTTCATCTGCTCTGCTGCACCACAAAGTCACCTGAACAGCACTGGCACAAGGAGAGGGTAAGACTGGATAGGGGTTAACCCCATCCTCCCATGCAGCCCCGTGGTATTAGACCTGCATGGGGATACAGAGACCCTGCCCTCCTCTGAAATACAAAAGTTCTCTGAAGACTTTTTTGTTGTAAAAGCAGAAGGAATTAACAGACGTTTTTGTGGGGAAAAAGTATTGTCATGCACCCTGGGACAACTTGTAAAGTTAGAGGAACCCCTGCCAATATCATCTGAGGTTTGTTTGCATAACATGCAAAAAGGAAACAAACACTGGCTATCTTAGAAACACTGGGGAAAATCCAGAGTTATATAAATGGGGGAGGAGAGGAAAGAAAATTGTTATGGAAGAAACTGTTTTCCAGCTTCCAAGAAGATATTTAAAAATTTAAGACAGGCCTAAGCATGAGGAAATTAGTTTTTAAACATGCCAACATTTCTGAATCTGTATCTGGCATTTGGGGTCTGGGACTGTTTCCAGGCTTGCTAAGGAAAAGGCAAAGAAAAAGCAAACAACAAATCTTGCGATCTGCCAACAGCATCTCTGAGCATCAGCCACATAGGGCACAGCAGCACAAATTCAGTGTTCTGTGCCGGGGGGAACGCAGATGGCACTTGTTTCCTCTAGATGGAATTACATCTCAGAAGGCATATATTCAGGTACAGGGCTCTGAAAGAAATTGCTTTGGGAATTGCAAGCCAAATTCCTCTGCAGTGTGCACCTAGGTACATAATGATGTAAGCACATATGTGCATAAGGAGTTAAGACTTTTCTTAGTGTTAAAAATATTAACGCCATTTACACTGAAGTCTTCATCACAGTCTGTGGCAGAACAGAAGATGCTATTTACATGGGAAGCTCTTGATAGATTTATGGTATGTGGAGCCTTGTGAGCAACCTGATTCTTTAAATGTTATATTTTTCTTATGTATTTCAAATTCCTTTACTATATTTTTATCTACTTGTAGGTATACAAATATTCTATTTACAAAGCAATATTTGTCTAAAAATAGAGCACATGATTTCTCATTGCCTTTTCAGAGTGATGTCTAAACACCTTCTCCCTCCAATGCATCCAATTGCCTTCATTTTTGCTACTATTCATGTTCAACTGAGTGTCCTGGAGGACACAATCACAGGAGATACCACAGCCCTAAGCTTTACCCAGCTGAGCATATCAAAAAAAAAAAAAAAAAAAAAAAAAAAGTGGCTTGAATGTGCCTCTTCAGAGCAGCCTAAAACATGAGGTCAGCAGGAGCTTGATGCTGCCGTGTTCCCACCAGAGGAAAGCTCTGGTCCCCCACATAAACCAAAGACGAAGGAAACACGGCCTAGTTGCCAGTTGTGCCATGATGGACAACACGGCTACTGGTTCCCTTTGGAAATGCTTTATCCATGAAAGTAGCAACTACAGATAACAAAGACAACTACCACTGCAAATGCCAGTCATTGGGTCCTAAATCTGCCTACACGGCCACTGCATAGCAGGAGAGGTAATTCACCACCTGCCTGTAATATTAGCTTACTCTTTTGTTGATATATTAACTAGTAGTTCTGTGAGGTATATCACATGCAGATCTACCATCCCAGAATTTAACACAGAAAACCAAGATTTCATATCCCCCTGCATGTCAGAACAACAAAAATAATGTGTCAAATAGGAGAGTGCATGATGTTACATCAAACACAACTGATGTTCCACGTATACAGCGAACAGTACAAAAACCCATTACAAACCCCAAATTGTCACATATGACAGGCATGGCTCAAAAATAAAAAGCAGCAGCACCAATGATTTGCTTCAGAAAGAAGTTGCTTGGCATTAACACCCTACATCTCTGAACACTGATCCAACTGGAGGATTGAAGCACTGAGTTAGGAGTAACAATGTTTTGGACACAATCCCTTCTGGTCATATCCCTTCTGGAAGTTGTTTTGTTTTTGTTTTTTTGTTTTGTTTTGTTTTGTTTTTTAAAAAAGTGAACTTTCTAGTCTTCTAGAAAAAAAAAAGCAAAAAGCCAAAATAACTAAAACAAAATAGATGTTCAATAAAGGATAAGGTCTTTCAGAAAATGATGGTTGGGAAATGCAGTACTTTAAGTTTCCTAAGACATTTTTCAGAAAAAATTTGATGGAAGAGGCTCACCAGGAAGCCCGAAGGCACAAGTAAAAGGAGTTTGATCCCCTCTGAAGCCCAAAGTTTAGTCTTAAAACTGTTATCAATGCATCTAGAGGCTAAACAGCACCGTGCTTTAAAAGTGAATTTGGTATGAAGACATTCCTAAAGACGCTTCACTGGTTTAACAAGGCACTTGGGCTCAGAAAGCAAGTCCATTCCCTGGCAGTCCTTGTCACTCATTCTTACTGCTTCATGCACCTAGGGGTGTCCTCACATGATCACTACATTAGCACACAACCTCTCACTACCTATCTGGTATTTGGATTCACTGCTGAAGATTTAAGATAGGCATCTGAAAGAAGTCCTCACTTGCTGGTACTGAATAGGCTCAAAGGAAACCACAGACGTGAAGCAGCTGAGCTTTCAAGTGCTGGAATGAAAACTGCTTCCTGGTTCATATCTATTAAGCAACAGTAAATGATGCTACACCAGCCTGTGTCTCTCCTCCATATGCCCCACTCTGCTGCTACTGATACAAGATGATGCATATTGTAAGTCACTGATATTAACAGGACCCTTCTGCCCTACATCCTGGAAGACAGAACACCAAATAAAATATATAGTCAAAGTACAAAGAAAAAGTGGTGGACAATCAGATGAAAGTGCTTTGATAATACTGAGGCAGACCCTGTATTTGTGGGCCTTTCCTCTACCTAATAACTAAGAAATGAAGCAGTATAAAATGCTGTTCCCTTTTCTGCATAGAAAGAGCAGCACAAAGGAAAACCTGAGTGTGTGATGCTTCTGTTTAAGTGATTCACTATGGAAGCACTGTGAAGGATGTTAGGCTGTCTCCTGAGAGCTCTGTGTGACCTGGCTTCCAATCATTTTCTGAATAATCTCAAATTTCAGTTTGGTTTTGTTTCTTGCAATACACAGCCATATGAAAGCACAGTTATTCTTCTTGATCAGCTGTTCTGCTACAGAGGGGTTTTTTTGTTTAGCTCACCATACAATACTGATTGAGAAACTGCTCAATATAACACCCAAACCACCACCCACACACTCTGTCCATGACATCTTCTGCTCTCAATTAAAAGCATTTGGCAGCACAATTTAAAATTTATCTTAGGAGATAAACGCATTAAGCCAAATCTGCACTAGTGAAAAGAAATTTGCTCTAAAAGAGATATTGTGAGAAAGGGTTGTTACTATTAGGATTTAGCCACCTCTTGCTATCAAGCACAAAGCGCAGAACTACTTCCTTTTATGTGTTAGTTTAATGTTCTGAATAACAGGCAGTAATAGATTAGGCATGAAACTTTCTCTCGCGGTAATGTCTGGTGACAGATGGACACCAGCTCTTCACACTGCCTGTCTTTTCACGTGCAGCCCTGCTAATTCCAAGATTCAACATCAAAAGTAGAATTCTATCTGCACTTTCTGTTCTTTTAGACAGACCTTGTACTTTGTCAGGTCTGCAGACAGATCTATTTTTACTGTCTTCACAGTTCACTCTTCCAGGAGGCACACACAGGCCTTGTTACTGATGATGCTTTCAATATTATTTAGTGTTTTGCCTTTTTGTCAGTTTTTAAATCTGTCTGTATTTTCACTCTATGGAGATGAAGAGATATACCAACACCTGAAACTGCATCATCCATTGCTGTGATTAGGTTTAACCTAATGCTTGGTTTTATTTAGATGGCCAGATCACATGGTTTGGAGACCAAAGGACTGCCAAGCTAGCCATCCTCCTGGTCTGTTCTCACAACTTTACAACTAGCACCTTAGCCAATTTGGTCTCCTTATCTGTTTTGGGATCTTGCTTAGAAAGCCACTCCATCTTATTTATTCAAAAAGCCACAAAGCTAAGGAAATGGAAACCTAAAAAAAAGGTTCAGTTAGGACTTTATGGACACCTTTTTGATCAAGCTCTTTAACATCTGACCTCTCACCACCACGTTTTACAGTAAGGAACAGGTAAGTTCGAACGCACTTTTTCCTTTAAGCTAGTGAAATTCATGTGTGCCACAGTCTGACATTTACATAGTGAAATGTTACAATTACAGCTGCCTAGAGATGCATATCTGAAAACAAGCATTTTCAAAGATGATTGTTCTGAACATTCCTTTAAGTACATCATTTGAGCTTTGCATCACATGTCTAGTAAAGGAGAGGTAGAATTAGTGGCACTAACACCTCCTCGGGTTTCTCCCTGCCACTAGAGAAATCCCACCTTGTACTCCCAGGTAGAATCTGTAGAGAAGGTCCTATTGGGTAGACACTGGAGAACAGCCGGGCAGCAGGTGGCAAAGCTAATACAATAAAGAGCATCCAAAGAGCAATTTGTTCTTAGGGAGCTAGTACTACTACCTCTAACTCTGAGTGCCAAACTGCTTGAACAGCTAGTGTTAGTAGACAGAGATTTCCCCATGGCTTACATTACTGTATAGTGCAAAGACTGCTGAACACTGGGAGCAAATGCAGTACTGTACCACTTTGACACAGGAGATCTGGAGCTGAAGCTACGAAATACAAAATGCATTAGTGCAATACATTAGAAAAGATTAACACCTCAACCAAAGGACAGGAAAAATATAGAGCATTCTAAGTTAAAAAAAAAAAAAAGTTTTAAACTTTATGCAGTTCTTGTTGAGGTTTAAATCAGTGTTACACTTTTTTTCCCCAAGTTTGTACCCCTGAGTCAAACATTGAATAAACATTGTACAGTAGGTACAGAAGCTAGTGTCTAGTTAAAAAGCAACAATTTGAATGGTCATTGCTTCAGAAGTGTTAAATAGTGACATTAACTTTCCGTATGGGATAAGAAAAAAAAATAGCACTCTCATTTGTTCTTAGTTTATAACTAAGTAAAAGATCTCAAGAGTTTCTAACCACATCATTTCAATGTGTTAGGCTGAGGTCTGTGATGAATGAAACCTTCAGTAAGGAAACCTGTTGGGGCTGCATCATTTGAGTATGCACAGTTGAGAACAACTACATCAAAGCAAAGCAGTCTTTCCAAGTTATAAGTTGCATGAGACAATATTAATCTTGGAGCACTATGTGAAGGTAGGCAGAGTTCTTTGACTATGATTATCAGGAGCTCTAAACTCAATACTCCTTATATCCAATATATTTTGCTAGAGTAATAACTAAGTTGCTATAATTTTGGCCTCTCGGCCTCTATTAAAATGGAATATTAACACTTTTGCTAACTTAAGCATGGTAAAATTCAGCTCACTAGAACCTCTGCTGACTGTCTCCAAGAACAATTCATGCTTTTTGCATTTTTCTTTTTCCTTTCTTTACAACAATAGGAATAAGAGCTTATTTAGAAGGCAGGTTCAGGTGCAACAAGGACTCACTGTTAATCATTTGGTTTGTTCTGAAAAAAGTGTGTAAAGGACCACCCTATGTTACTAGGTTTGGGAGAGTCTTTATCATCTTTTGGGGGAAGCAGAAACTGTCGGGAATTAATGGAGCATGGGCTCCCAAAAGATGCATTTTCATTGTTGCTTTCAACTGATCCAGGAGAGTCTGGAGTGTCCATGTTCCAGGCATTTGTGTTTGCTTGAGGTCTGTAACCTGCAGTTTTATCCAATTCTTCTTCTGCAGGTGAACAACTCTCTATTTTCAGAGCATTGATAGGCAGCTGCATTTGTGGCTTATAGCCTGCTGTAGTCACTAAGTCTATTTCTGGCTCCTCCTCAGGTTTAATTTGAGGCTGATACATTGACTGGATATCAATGTAAACCACCTGAGATGACCCCACAGGTTCATCCATAGGGGGATTTGAGATCTCCTCTTCAATGATAGGGGGGCAGTAGGACACAACCACGTGGTTCTCTGTCTCTGAGTCAGAGCCATCTTCAGGCACAGTGCTGTCTGCTGCTGGGGACATCATCTCTGTGTCTTCAATCTTGGGATCTGCAGACCGTGTTTCTACCACTTCAACACTATTTGGGGTGCATGGGTTCATTTCCAGTGTTTTAAGTGTCTTATTCCCCTGAGGTGAGAAAAAGAAGGGGGTGAGACTAAGCCAAAAGATCTGGAAATCCTGAAAGCAACAACTTGCCCAAATTAAACCAGTGTGTTGGCTTGTGGCTTGCACTCATCCCATTGCCATTAGTACAATATGAAAAAAAATGTTTTCGTTCTGATTTTCTCGCTCATCACATACTCCTGTTAATGTTAAAAGTATTTAAGCCAACTTAAAGAGACTCCAGATCTCACACTAAGTGTTTGAGAACTCTTTCCCAAATCTCAGCTTTGCATAACCCATTCCAGAAGGTTGCTTAAATGTTACCCCCAGTTCCAGCTACTAGGTCTACCAGGAGGCTGGGGATATGGCATGTACATTTCACCACACTTTCTACACTCCTAACTCTGTGACAAAGACATGTATGTTACTCCCACATCATTATCATGTACTGACATTTTTCATTAGTGCACGAGGAGAGAAATGCAGCATTCCTTTCCGAATTCAAACATTGCAAGTAACTACATTAACAACAAGAAATCTCTAGATAGCACCTGAATACTGAGTAACTTGTTCTGTTCCCCCCTGCCACAGTTTTTTCCACAACTGAAGCAGAAGACTCAAAGTTTGCAAAATAATTCTTTACTCACAATACCTTTTGGAAGTTTATGATACTAGATGTAAAATAAGGGTTACCTCACAGATGTTCTTCTGAAACTGCAATGCCTTACTGTTCTCAGGATTTGGGATCTCTGGATAAAATGTCTCTTTAATCCTTTAGAGAGGAAAGAACAAACTTTTAAAAGTTACCAAGTCCTGAAACTGATTGCGAATACACAAAAGTAGTCAGGACATTTCCCTTTGATTCAGAATACTGAAGACATCTGGCACAAAGATTTAGTGTGTTACACTTTCACTGAGTATTTAATGGAAAAAACAGCAAACCTTTTTTTTAAAAAAAAACTGGGGAACTTGATATGCCACATTTACGAAAAGTTGCAGATGGGATGTCTACCTGAGTGTTTGTGGATGGCTCACAAATTACAGTATGTCGCCAGCTTATTTTCATTTGGGAGCTATTTATAAACGGTGCTGACTGGGCGACAGGCTCCTGCAAAACCTTTTTGCATTCCTCATTCTGACCTCTCTCCAATTCAATTTCTCCATCACCTTCTGCAATGTATTTTTCCACCCACATTTAAACAAAGCCCACTGACATCTTTGGGTACTTGGGGAAAACAAAGAGTAACCAAAATAATGGAAAACTCTAGCACTGAAGCAAACACATCCAGAAAAACATCAGAACTGAATGCAGTCATTTACCATTCCCTCTTCCGGTAGCAGAAAATGCTGGCCACCACTCCAAGCAGCACAACCACTGCCACAGGGATGAGAATTGCAATGATTAATCCTACAGCTGGGGGACGAAAAAAGAAAAGACAGTAAATGTATATCCAAAGTTACCAGCAAGTTTTATGCCTTTTCTAACATTCCCACAGATTAGAGACCATTTCATTAAACTCATCTAACGGTGGCCTGAAAATAGTCACCCATACCACATGCTTCCCTTTGCTGGAAGGGCCAAAGTCCATCCATAAATAAAGCTGATTCAGTGGTACCTACAGGAATCAGAAGATACTTCTCTCTGCTTAATTGCCAAAGGCTTCATGTGCAACACAGGACTGATTCCCACTGTAATTCTGTTCTCAGTAAGCACTAGAATTGCACTTTCATGTTACTTGAGCTGGCTAAATCTCTGGTAATGGCTCTTATAGGCCAACAACTCATTGCACAAACTCCATTGCCTTTTACATGATTTACAATGCTTCTAATCCCCAGGGTTTAGATCTGATACATTCCCACTGTCTTCCTCTATCGGTTAAGTGTCTCAAGTTTGATTTTCCATGTATTTTAGTTGCACCTCAGTGTTTAGTCTTTCATATGAAACACTTTTCCCCCACCCCCACCCCCCCCTTCATTCCCTATAGTCAATCTCTTCTTTCCTGACTGTTTTTCTGGGTTTGCTTCTGTCAGGGGATCGATAAAACTGAATTCAAAGCAGAGAGGCATCTGTTTATAATTCTGAAACTGGTAAATATTTCCACAATGTCTTTCTTCCCACCATGTACTAGCAGATATTCATCATGGGAAACCTGACAAAAACAACTAGCTGCTTGAGAAGACTATGTTCAGACTCAACCATATTTAGTAATAGTCTACAAGTTATTTTTCTTGCATACATTACCATGAATTACAAGGTAGTGGTAATAGGAAAAGATCTTTTCCTCACCCTGAACTGTACCAATTTTTGTATTTAAATATAACAAACTAAATAAATTAAAAATTAGACTGTGGGCCCAAACTACCTATGGGGTCTAGAAAAAGAACAAAATAAGCTTAGCTTTATATACACATTTCAGTCCCTGTGCTGAAGACCATTAATGAACAGAGATATTCAACTTACAGTCCTCCTTTGTCACCACATAGAGGCTGTTTGGAGGGCTCAAGCCACCAGCAGTGTATGCTTGTAGGTCCAGTTGGTAACTTGTTTTGCCTTGAAGATCAAGTATTTTCAATGACTTCTTTGTTAAATCAGTGATATTCTTAACTTTAAGTTCTGGATTCCCTGTTTGTTTAGAAGCAGTAAGAAAAGCACAACTTTGTAAGAAAGAATTCACAAAGACAGTCTTGGCTTTGGCAGGACTTTCTTGAAGTCAGCATATGAAATCTTAAGAACAGTCTGTGTAAAGGAAAACTGAAATAAAGAATCCTAGCAATGCTTCTTGCTTACACAACACCAAACAGCACAGAGGTGTGCTGGTGCTGCAGACTGGCTTCAGTTTCTTACACTCCTGCTTGTCTTCTTATGTTAATGTGAGCCAGGCCTCAGTTCTGTACAGAGATGTCCTTACAAGATGGGTACTGGAAGAATATACCCAATTAAATATAGCCATGCAATCTCCCTCATGTCTTATCCACCCAGGGTATCTGTGCACAAGGCAGTGTGTCCCACTGCCACTTTATCATTGCATAGCTTTATGACATCAGTGAGCCAAGGTTTTCTCCAACTTTTGCCTTATATTAAAAAACAACTGTGCTAACCACACAAGGAGCTGATTATTTCAAATGCCTTTGTCACATATCAGGGGTCAGTTATGCCAGTGAGTAATGCAATTGAATTATGATTAAAGCACCTTTTTTTAAAAGTGAAATAGAATAATTAAAAGAAAACAAAAAAGGCAAACACCCACCCCCCCCAAAAAAAACCCAAAAACTTAAGCAATGATTTTGCAATCTACAGATTTAATTTACCTGATTCCGAAAGCCTAGGCTTTAAAGCATCTTTTTCACCTTTTGCAAAGGAAAGCCGATATCCCTCTAAAAACCCCTGACAATCTTCAATAGGAATGTCTTCCCATTTTACCAGTATAGAATCTGAAGAAGTTTCTTCTACAGTAAAATTTGGTGCACGTTTTGGAGCTGTAGGGAGAATTATGAAGGAAAAATCTAGTAAGAAAACACTTTAGCACTAAATGCTGAATCCATGTGTTTCATCAGTTTTATTTCAGGGCTAGCATTTTCAACTTTTCCCTGAATACTTCTCCCTCACTGTCAAGAAAATGTGAAAAGACTTAGCAAGTGATACTACAAAAATACAAGTATATTGGTCTCATTGTTATTAATTACTGCAGTATTATCTACTAACAGAAGCTGAAAGAAAAATCTCTCCTTGGGGAGCCTTCTTACAGGCCCATACAAGTAAATATCCTTCTTCCTGCAACAAACCCCCAATGATGGCATAAACATTCAGGGCATACAAATTACTTAACTTTGACAGGCTTTAAGTCTGTGACTTCATAGCTTGTCTTCAAATTAAACAAATTCCACATTCCTCTTATGTAAATCTATCTCAGCTTAAATGAACTACTCTTAGCAGGCATCACAAGTCCTTATTCCAATACCTGTACCCCACTTAAAGTATTACAGTGGATATTCTGTAAGGTCATGTGCATCAGGGCTTAGTCTGACATTTGGCATTGATGTATCAGTGCTGAACTCATATTTAAGAATGCTTCTATTTTTGTCTTGATGGTTATCTGTCCAAAGGCAAATCTGAAGTTTTAGAATGAATCTATGTTCTTGTGCAAAGTGAATATATTTCTCAGTTCATAGTAAGTTTCTTCTGCATGTTTGATGCATTGTTAGTCTCCCAAAGTCTTTATCCTTTTACCTTGAAAGCTTCGAATCTGTTGAGAACATGTATGGAAAAACCTTGTGGGAAACTGTTAAGGAATTTTACAGAGATACAAATGGCTTACAGTTGAGTTTCTGTTAAAATTGCCTTAATCTCACCTTCAACCTTAGCAATGAAATAAATGTCATTTCCAGGGGCTCAGATTACGTCAGCAACTCAGTTTTTCAAGCAAACTATTTTAGCAGAAAACACATTAAACTTCAAAGTGAAATGAGTGCTGTAGTTACAATACAATACAGTTGTGATGTTAAAGGGTAAAGCCATGTTCAGATACCTGGGAACAGAAAGCATTCAGACACTAATACCTCTCCAGACAAGCAAAGTTCAGCCCTGGATCAAACCACAGCTACCCTGATGAGGTTGGTACAGGAGGGAATACAAGTGCAATTCTCAAAGTGGCTTTACTCTAGAACCTAGTTCTGATCTAAGAAAAAGCTTTTAAACAGAGATGTTGTGGACAGTTTTTGTATTTGCTGAGCTGTACCAAATGTGCTTAGAAGTTTACTTTGACTTGACTAATCAAAAAATGTTGATTCCTCTTCTGCAGAAGTGACTGAAGCCCTGTGGTTCACCTGACGCCTGTGCCTTCAACTCTGAAGACCACTGTCTTCAGAGCAAACTTCTGTGGCCCTCTGTGCCACCACACAAGGTGGAAAACACAGGGTTATTGCATGCTGGGAACTGGAAGGAGAAATGTATTACAGTTATATACAGAGATGAAGCAGAAGTCAGAAGTACTGTATGGGGATTCTGGTCTTAACCTTCTTCTGCCAACACTGAGTTAAAAATAGACACAGTCTAAATGCACTTCGTAAAGGTCCTGAATGATAAGATGCACTTACGCAGCTCTTTCATATACCCAGTTATGTTTTTCAATAACTGATATCCACTGGATTTGCAGCCATATAGTGAAAAGTTGTATCTCACGCCAGGTCTAAACAGAACTGCAAGAGAAAACCGCTGTAAGATTATTTCACTTGAGAAGAGTGATGCTTTTAGCTTTCAGATAATGCAGACATATAAATATGTATTAAAAAATTTAAAAGCTTAGACCACAGTGTTAGGTATAAATACTATCCTTACTTGTAATTCATATAAAAGCTATGCTATCATGTGCAGTTTAGAAGCAGCAAGTAAAATCTAGCTCCTGGAGAAATTTTGGTTCTAAACAAATATGATTCAAAACAAGCTAGTTAAATTGTACAAATTACTCTTTCCATGGGGAAACACAAACTGGAGTTACCAGAAACAATCCCCTTCCTTTCCTCCCACAGCAGCCATGTAGATCCTGCCTCCTCCTCAGAAATACAAACGCATTTTGAAATATCCAGGCTTATTGCAGCAACAGTACAAAAGAAATTCAGAGAACTCTCAAAAGTGATAGTGAAGCACTTTAGAGATGAACTCCAGGCCTGTAATGTCTCTACAAAACACAAGCAATCATCAAATTTCTGCTTCACATGTCTTTGGTGGAGGTATAGGTGTTTGATACTGCAACATGTAAATAATTTATCAGTTCCTGAGATTTTCTCAAGTCAGGGGTATATACTACTTTCAAGAATCTTTCTAAGCAAGATGACACTGTGAAACTCTACAGAAAACAAGTGGCTTTTGCAAGAATTCAGGTCCAGCCTGAGAGATTCTCCTGGTAGAACTAAGCACAGAGGTGTATTTGCCAGCTTGAGCCCAGCCCTAGCAGCCTGGTAACTCCCACAGCATGCTACAAGAAGCATCCCAGGGGAGAGCTCAGGAATAGATCAGGGCATCGTTGAACAGACATAGTATTGTCTGCTTAGAAAAATCAAGCTCTAGACAGCACAAATGAAAACGTGGACTCAATGTTGTAATTACAGGCAGGAAAACATATTGCTCCCACTGCCAGGTCCCACTTGCCCCCGGCTTTCCTATGTACACTGCTCCTTTTCTCTAACGGAGAGTTCATATAACTAAACTATTCTATAAAGCAAATATATACCCTTTTAGACAGCAGAGAAAAATCCCACATCTTTCTTGGGTCCTCTCTTTCCCCTTCTGCTCCTACTAGTCCCATCACAGCTGAATTTCATTTCCCTGATCTGCCCACCAGCATCTAGAGACCTGGAATGTGCCCTGTTCCAGGAAATTTCAATTGCTGACAGCAAGCCAACACATGGAGGTCACACTTAAAAAAATCTGCCTCATGTAAAAACAACGGATTAGTCTTCCCCCATCCTGAGCAGTGCTGTTTATGTTCAGAATCCAAATTAAACCCCAAACCCTAGATTAACTATTATGCATTAGGCTGGGTAGAAAGTTGTTGGGTGTAGCTAGAAGAGGTAATTTCAAAGCAGTTAATAAACATAGGATGATAACAGTTAAGTCAAGACCGATATTTGGATTTGGCAAGGCTGTGTAAGAAATTAAAATAAACACAGTACCAAGAAGGGGTTCATTTATATACACAAGCACACAGCAATGCAACAATCTTCAACCTACAGCATTGGTACTATTCCATTTCACTCGCTGCTCAGGCTCTCAACCAGAAAGACTCGCAAAAAAATATTTCTGACTTACCAGACTTTATCACTGCATCTGTTGTATTTGAAGGAAATTTCTGCCAGTCCACGCTACAGGGTTCAGACCCAGATGAATGACACCATTTTACTATGTAGCCACAGGTCATGTTGGGGTAAGAATTCCAAGAAATATAAATTCCATTCCCCATTGCCACGGCCCGATCTGTTTTGACATTGTCTGCAACAAAGATGACACAAAAATCCATCAGAGAGCAGACACTTATCTGTACTCCAAGCTGGAAGAAAGCCCTCCAGTCATAGCACAAAGGTTTTATAAACTGCAGTAATTTCTAAGAATGAGAGGCACACTCCTGGTACTGTGAAATTCGAAGCGGTGCACTCAGCTTTGCTTTCTGAAGTGCTGGAAATCAGACATAGCCTGCAGCAAATCCCTCAGCCAGCCTTAAGTATGATGACGAGAAGTGCTGCAGCTCAGGGCTGGCTTAAAAAGCACTTTTTCAAGGTAAGGATTTACAGCCGATGTCAGGTTCAAATCTGACTTGACACCAATTTGGCAGGAGCCTCCAGCTATAAATTCCTGCTGCCATTTCATCAAACAGTTTGCTCTATGTTTCTTTCAAAGTGTCTTGCTGTCACTTGCCCAACCACAGAAAACCATTTTTCACTGGGAATCAACAACAACAGACAAGCTTCTGGTGAACTTTATGGAGGTTCCAGTCTATAAAGGGTGAATGAAAAAAAAAAAAAAAAAAAAAAAAAAAAAAAAAAGCAGCTTTCCCTTTACTCTATTTTTTCTTGTTTCTGATTATCAAAGGTTTAGCTGCCCTTGAAGTGAACAGATTTGGGAATGACTTCTGATTCATCCAGCTTCCCTCCACGGCTGTCTATCAGATGGGACCCTGCCGAGATAAGGGATGTTTTCCAGAGGCCACCACAACAGTGGTGGCCCCACAACAGATCTGCAAAAACAATCTCAGGGTTTCAGTTTTTCCTTTTTCAGTGTTCTGATTTATGCTCCCTATTGAGTCTATTATTTCATGTTATTAAAACCATAAACTATGGAAGGCTGAAGGGCAAGGACAGTTTTTAAGAACCACTGCTGTGAAAATTTTACGCTCACAGATGTGCTGTGAATGTTGAAGGACTGTCTATTTCTAAATAATCTTAACATATAGCTAAGTGTACAATCCTTTTCTAACTTGTTCATGGCAAGAAAGACACACATAATTAAAAAAAGCAAGTCAACTCCAAAGTCTTTCAATTCTTTTCCCTACAAAAATACTACACTTTCAGTGAAACTACATGTCCATGATGCAGGAAGAGAGCATATTTCTAATTAGACTGCTTTCATTTTCCCATTTACAGGAAAGACTCTTTACTGACAATGAGTGAGCACATACTCTCTAAAAAATGCTTAAATACATCACACTCGATTTTATTTCCTGAGACAGATGACTAGAAATTCACCCAGGGCAGTACTGCTCATTTTGGTGTATTTATAGCTGCAACCTAGACTAGTAGAAATAACTACTAGCACTACAGTACTACAGTGCTAGGGGAGCCTGTAACAGCTGGTTTATATGCCACAACCCTCTACAGAGAACTTTTCAGAGACAATGACAAATTAACTAAGGATGAGTACCCTTTGTGTTTTCAGTTTTCACAAAACCTCAGCAAATCTCAAGCTTCAAAGCCATTGCTCTCTTATGGACATTAAAAGCACTTACAGACTGTACACAGGAAGCAGCCAGAAAAGATGTTTGGGCAGAAATGTCATGCAGTTCAGGGAATGAGTCATCTTTCATGACTCCAGTCAGTGACTCAGATAATTCCTATACCAACTTGGGAGCAAATTTTCAATGAGAACAAGTTGGGTAACACCAAAGGGAACCTCAGACATCCAAGAGAAGGCTATAAAGGAATGCAAAGCTCCAGCTGCCATCAGCTGTCCCACATCACAAACCTATTACAGACACCTCCCCGACTCCCAGAGTCTCATTCTTTCAATGCAGAAGGAGAGCTACAAAAGCATTTTTATTCATTCAACTGTCCCATACTATTACTTATCCCTCCAAGGAGTAGAATAGGCATATACTTACAGGTATTGGTGTTTTGGAGAAGCTCAAGAGAAATGGTTTTCCTTTACATAGAAACAAATTTGTCTTTCTCTCACTGTGAATCTCAGTCAAAGCACATTTCTTCCTAAAGGAGATGGCCCTGTCTTATCAGTACCTGAGCTTGCAAGATGGGCAACTGTGATACCTGCTCTCTGGGTGGGGAAGGAGAAGCAGCACCATATGTGTCTCTGCTAAACAAGCAGAGAGAGGCCTCACTGTGTAAATCTGTCTTCCCTGCAGAGCATTGGCCAGATCTGGAGCTAGAGGTTTGGGCTTTGGGAGACTACGCTATTCCTGGGGTGCAGGGAAGCATGAACTCTCAATAGCCACATGCAACATTATTTTCTTCCCAAGCTCAGTGTTGGGAGAGAAAATCATGATCTCGCTCAGCTATTTCCCTTTACCTAAGCCCTCAGCAAGAGTGGCAGTGATTTATTTAGCTGAAGTCCTACCTCCTTTTTGAACACCAGCTCCTAGTACAAGGATGCCAACACTTTACCAACCAGCCCAACTAATATTATCATGTAGAGCTCACAGGCACTGAACTGACAACTCACCCCTTAAAAAGCCACACAACACCCCCAAAACTTGATTCTGATTCTCTTTGGCATGTAACACTTTTCAGCATCTCAACAACACACAGAAATGAACTGAGCTCCCTAAACATCAGAGATCAACACTAACGCTTTGAAACCTCATCGTTGCTGTTCCTGGGAGGTCTCCAGAAAAGTGCAAATAGCTGCAGAGACTGAACACTATCACCCTTCTTTTATGCAGAGAGCACAATTAATTGGCAAGACACTACCCTAGAAGCAAAGCAGCAGGTTTTTCTTCTCCCACCCAGTAGATTTGGGTGGGGAAATAAACCAGAAATCAAACACAAACAAAAAAAGCATGTATCTATCTTATTTTTCTGTAAACAGACTTGCCCAGGTATTCCCCAGACTTTGAAGGTGTTTAGCTCTCTGCTGGGAGCACTCACCGCTTGGAAGTTCCACACTTGTTATCCTTGAAGGAGGAGACGAGCCTGCATGGTTTTTGGCTACAACACTAATTACACAGTCATTTTTTCCAAGTTTTATCTCAGTACTGTTTGAGGGTTCGGTAACTTCTTTATACTCCAGTGGTGTCTCTAGCAGGTAGCAGGACACTTCATGAGACACTATTTTTCCATTGGCTTCAGAAAGAGATAAAGGCTATGAACAAACAAAGAGCACATTAAGACCAAAATGGAATAAACAAAAGAAGACATACAATAATATGAATTTAATGTCCTGATCTAGTCTGATGAATGTGTAGGACTACAAGGAAGAAAAAACAATTACTCAAGTGTGACTTTGAGAATTAACACCTAAGTTTGTAAGTTTTTAATTTTCATCTGGAATGTGTAAAAAATTAATTCTTCGTGTGAATTGCTTCTCAATGCAATGTTTAATGTATAAAACTTCAATAATATTCTCATTTTGGGAAAAATATTTGTCTCAATGGATGGTTCCATAAAAAGTTAAGAAAAGCAGTCCATTTTATTTACTATTTTTTCATATAGTTACATTACATAATATTTTAAAACTTTAAGTTTTAATTACCTTCCAGAAGATTTTTAGACTTTTTCCAGAAGGACTTCTCTCTCTCCAGATATCTGGTCCCCTTGCAGGAGCTAAGAAAAAAAAAAAAAAAAAAAAAAAAAAAAGTTGTTTGTCTTTTTTTTCCCCAAGTTGCACAGTAGAAAATTTAACACCTAGTTTAAAATATATGGCTTCACAAGTTCAACATTTTATCATCAAAGAATTAAATAAACTTACGGGCTTCCAATGTTGTGTGCTCCTCTACCCTGCTCCAGTCACTCCACCTCCAGAAGTGGTCAGCAGCTGAACACCGCACCCTGAACTGGTATTTGGTATATGCGTGCAAAGCGTTCAGCTGAGCTGTGTAAGTTGAGAATTTTCCACCAGGCATGGAGACATTGTGCTGTTGAAAATTTACAGAAATTGACATGATACCTATATATTTTTTCCTCTTAGATTATGCTGAAAGTTAATACCTTAAAAGGTCATCTTTTTCCCCAAGAATACCAACAGTGTGAAAATAAGCTGCAGTCAAGTCCTACGAAGAAATTAATGAAGTAGTATTTCCTATGCAGTCACCATAAACAAAGGAACATTTTTCAGAAGTCTGCCAAAATAAAGTCATATGTAGCACAGAAATTGAAATATGACATCAGGTAGCACCTTTGAGATACAAAGCATGAAAAGGAGAAATAACACTGGTGAGCCTTTAACAGGATGAGCTCTGCACACAGTAGCAGGCTGTTGCTTCCCATCTAATCCATCCAGTCACCTCTCCCATGAGCAGCAAATCTGCTCCCGTGAGACAGGGTAGAATTTCACCTCTGGTATTCACAACCTGCACTTCCACTGTGCACGAGCACATCAAACTGGGTAGACTGAGGCGTTTTTCCTAAGACACATGCACAGAAGAACACAGAAGACAGTCCGTCTGAACAGGATGTTTACCATGAAGTCTCTTTCCTAGGCAGTATTTTTCCTTTAAAAGATAGTAACCAAGTCTTACCCAGGAGATTCTCTGTTCACAGCACTTATGACAGGACTAGTCTCTCCTATTATTCTTAATACAGTGTGAGACTAGGGAGTATTTCAGTTTCATGACTACTTAAAGAAACCCTAAGCCTCAGAATACATTTTACTGAATCTAATTATAACACATGTGCAACACAGCTGCCAAAAACTGGATTCCAAGTGACTTAAAGATGCAACTTGTGCATTTCTAAAGCCAAATGACAGTTTGAAAAATATTAAAAAAGCCAACAATCTCTCATACGGATGGAAAAGCTTCTGAAAACATCTTCAAAATGCCATGTAAAACCCCATAACAATTTCACAGCTACTTTCATTTATTACAAAGAACTCCTGGAGGTTTTTTATTAAGCATCAGGAGACAACATAACAAGGCTATAAAAACTTCTACCAAGCTGTTTGCTGTGTTTCAAAATATCTGTAGCCGTGGGCCACAGTGAATCAAATTGCTGTGGCAGTGTAAGACCTTATACCATCTCCCACTGCCCCAGATGACTGACCTGGTAGCAGAGTTCACAAGCAAGTGTATGCCCCAGGCTTTGAGCAGCATAACTCTGACTAGACAGAACTGTGCAAATCTACTTCTTTAGCAGTTTAAGCTAACTGAGATGGGAGTGAGTGTCAGTTGGGTGCTTTGTTTCCCCTACTGACTGCTCCAGAAGCAGTAACTGTTGGGGGCAAAGAAACGCAGAGAGCTGTGGGTGATGGTATCTCATACTATCCACCACTGTCCAACACAGATCATCTGTCTGAGATGTTATGTACATCTAAAAGCCAGCTCTTGCTCCTGTTAATTCCAAATATATTTATGATTTTCGTTGCAGTATCTAATCTCTGGGTACTATTTAACACATGTCATTACAAAGAAAATATAAAAGCTTAAGGCTTCCACACTCATTAAGTGCTTTGGAAGTATTTTAAAAATACTCTTACAGAGCATGCATTAACTACTACCCTATTATTTTAGAGGCAGTGTAGGTAATGATTATCTTCAGTCTTAGCTGCATCACTTCTGTGGCTTGAGTGACTTTATTCAAGGCTGTGCACAATAGCTGTGCCCAACAAGCAACTAAATGAAGTGGGTAATAGAATACCGCTAAAAATCAAACAAGCATTGTAAAAGTCAGCTTCTGAGGTTAATGTGCTCAAATTACAAATTCAGGCTGTGTGCAGAAAGACCTGACAATTCAGCCTGGGCCTACCCAAGCTGGTCAGAGATACTCCATCTGAACACAAAAACAGAGAATTTGGATTAAATCTCAGGCCAACTGAACATGCAATTCTGCCATTAGGCTTCCCCAGTGACACAGAGCACCCCCACACTATGTCAGAGAATACAGAAGAAGAGGATATATTCCCACCATCCACACTTTATATCTGATGTTGGTGTCTAAATTAGTATCCCAAGCTATTCTGACAGTCAGCAGCGTAAATATGCAGCTCCAGTTAGTGATGCAGAGCACCAAATCTGGGCAGCAGCTGGAAGCCTGAATTCTGGAAAATCTGAACCCCACTCAGAAACACCATCTTCTCTCCAGCAGCAGGGGTGTTCACTGGGGATTACCTACTGATACACCCAGGGGTAGAACCCACATCTCTGACATACAAGCAGGTTTAACAGCTCCCTATCACAGCCACTTGCACGTCAATTGCTGACAGCAGGCAAATGAACTGTTCTCTGAGAGAAATAAAAGGAAAAAGAAATTCAACTACAGACTGCAAGAGGCAATCTGAAACAACCTCTGTGGAAGTCTGCAGAGCAGCAGTGCATCCTGGAACAAGTATGTGTTAATACAGTTTATGCCAGAAGGGACAAAGCACAAGGACTGTTACCTAAAGGGTCAGCATAAAGCACCATGCACCCTCTCCAAATACCAAATAACATTGTTTGAAACCAATCAAAAAAAAAGAAAGCAGGCAACAATGGAGATGAGCAGAACATTTTCTTATTTTAGTAGATGAACTTCTAGTTACTAGCATATTAATCATTTAGTAAGATGATCAGAATGAAGCTCTTAGAAAATAATTTGAAATGTGGTTGGTTCAGTGAAAAAGATCAACATTTGAGCAAAAAAAAATAAGCCATTAAAAGCAACACTTACCAATTTTCGCTCAGAGTGACCACTGCTAATTTCAATTTGACACAGAAGCCTGATCTCAGCAAAGCTGCCATTTATAAACCAATGCAGACGGACACTTGTAGAACTGTTCCCAGAAACAGTTAGCTTTTCTGGAGTTTTTGGATGAACTTAAAAGATAAAAAAACCCACCTCAGTTCTAAGAAAAAAACATGCATTTTAATTCAGAAAAATCTGATTTTAAAAGATCAAAGAGAATCAGAAGGATAAATATATGATCTGATCAGCAACTAGGACAGCTGGTGCTGGGAAGGCACCGGCAAGCAGCCTCATTCCTGATGCCCTTTTCAGCTATCAGGAATGGAAACAGATTTAATTGAGGCTGAGCATACTGGTGTGTGTGATAAGAAGTTGGAGACAGAAAAATTTCCCCTCCTACTGACTTTATCAAAAAAAACAAAACACAAGCTATTTCAGAGGATGACAGTGACACATTAAATTCACTCAGCGTTGTTCACCTTCTGGGAACTTTCTAAATTAGACCTTAAAATCTGCAGACTAGGACAAGGTAGGACTCCTAAATGACCTCTCCCTTCCCAAAACTTCCTTCACAGAATTTTTCAATAATGTTCAGTACTACTACTCATAGCTATCAGGGGAAAAAAAAAAAATCTCTACTCTTGCAACTGGTCCAGTTAACCTTAAGGAAATACGTAGTCTGTGTTGGGAATAAAGTGGACAGTGAGGGAAAGAAAGGAAAGGAAACAAATAAGAAATAGCAGTCGTATTGACTGGGTGGAAAACAGCCCAGTTTATAATTAATAGAAAGAAATTATGCTTTTCCAGGACCTGCCAATTTACTCTGACAATTCTAATCTCATGCTAGTTGAACTGGGACATGGACGAAAAGCCTGCACCACCTTCATGTTTAAATTTAGTTTTTCAGAAAGAATGGCAGAATGCTGTAACCATTAGGAAACCCTGAATCCTCAGCTGTGATTGTGGAGGCAGATGGAAAAGGACAGGAATGACAGCACTGGAAAGGTGGCAATTTTCTCCCTTTCCTTGTTTAAACTGAAGGCCTAATGGAAGAAGTTACTTCTTCCTACAAACCACAACAGCAGATCATCATGGCTATTACCAATAGCAGGTAATACTCCTGCTATTATCTTTTAGCTTTTTAGTGCTACTTGGTTTATGCTCCAAATCCTGCTGTTGTAAATCTGCATAATATTTTGCCTTATAAGCAGACACTGAAATACTGGGTCACTTACAGTTCATAAAGTTACACCTGAATTTTAATTACTGATGTGTAATAGAATATGAAGTAATACATAAACAGCAGCTGGCTATTTATTAGATTGCAAGTAGCATTTATTCACACAGTAGTGTATCCAATCTGGTAGCACTGCTGTGAAGAACTGGCATCTCCCGCTACACCTAATTGTTGCCTCAGGACATGTCTTAAGATATTTTCTTTTCAAGTTCAAATTACTGAACACAGCAAAATACTGGTGACAATAAAGCAAAAAAATGACAAGTATACCATGTCACAGTTCTTCAAACTCTTTTTCATTTTGTAATTCTTAAGTCTTACCTCTTTGAGTTAAATCAACCAAAAGCGATGACTCTCTTTGACCAATAGGATTGGAGACACCTAATATGAAATCATAGGTTTTTTGATCAGCCAGTACTGGAAAGCCACAGACACGCTCTCTGTTCATTTCATTGACTTCGCATGAGATGTTTTTACCAGATATTCTACAAAGTAAAAAGCAGGGGGAACAACTTGATTTTTGAATAAGATAATTTCTAGCAACAGTCACAAGTCTTGATGGAAAATACAGTAAAGAATGACGGGTCCACTGACACATGGCTTACAGAATGATTTGATTGCAGAGGCATATCTAACACCACACTGCAGGTTAACGTGGCATCAGTCATGACTTGCCCTGTTCTCACGTGTAACTCTCCTCTTCCACTAGCATAACATTTCCATTCTCTTACTTCTCAAATGCCTGGAAAACAGGTAGGTCCTGTAAAACCACCTCACAAGTCACAACTAAGATTCCAATTTAAAGTATCTTTGTTCAGATCAGCATACATTTGCATTTAAAGCATGTTTTTAATTGCTTTTTGAACTAGGGAGATGCGACACACATTATGTCTTTCTATTAGCCCTGCCAAATCTAAATCAAGGTTTGTTACCTGGGATACATCCACTAGTCCCAGCCGGTTTTAAATCAAAAGCAGCAGAGGCAGTCTGGTAACAGCCGAGACCAAAGTTACATCTTTAGAGGTAAAATCTAAAGCATGTATCTGCAATGTATGTACATATATAGAATCTGCTTTGATTGCGATATGTGTAAATCTCTCATTCAGTAGCACAAGTTTAACTTCTTCCTTCAGGCATTTGTACTGTGTTCTAGCTGAGCTCTGAGCTCTCTCCACACCATGCTCTTTATTTCAATAGGTCAGTGTGGGCTGAGAACAAGGACAAGAATATTTATCCTGAAATGCATCACATTACTCTCCTGACAGCTTTGGGCTGAGTGAAACAAGTCTGAACTACATCCTCATTTATGAGCTGAATATGGGCAGCCAGTGTTTGGAGCTCCTTTCCTTTGAATACTTGCTCTGTTTTGTCTACCTCTTTGCACCCTACCCAATGGCTTTTTTAGCACTAGCATCCTGGATGACACTTGTGACCATAACTCAGTCCTCACTGCCTCTGACTTGCCTCAGAGCCACCATGAGACGCCATTTTCCAACGGTGTGTGTGACTCAGGCCTCTTCTGGCTCCTTTCCTTGACTACTTCTTTGGCATTACAGGGGAGCCTCCTCACCATGGGAATTTAGTTAACTCCTCACTAACTTCTAATCATAACCACCAAATAATCCAGTTTGCAAGATTTTAAGGCTTTACATGGCCTACAATGTAAGACAAACTAGTGGACACCAGCCTTTACTTCTTTCTGTGGATGATGCTAGTGTTTTTTGTCCCTTTAAATGTTTTCCAGGTAACATGCACCTTGCCTGCTATACACTATCTAGTTCTTAATTCTGGGAGAAGAATGGATGTAGGCTTATTGCTATTTTCACTAGTAGCATTTGGGAAATGCCCCATAGCCTGTCTTAAATTGTTCCTTAGTGAGTTTCTGTTATTCTGCGTAACAGAAGCTCAGTAAATGTCTGACAGAAGATCTGATACAGGTTGCATATAGAAAAATTTTAAAAATTAGTGAATCACTCCTGCTATCTCCCAGTATTTTCATATTTGTCTTATCTACATGTTGACAGCAGCCTGACACACAGCTTTTTATTTTCTCAGGAGTTCATAATGGTGTAAGTCTAAGAAAAGTCATCCTTAATTCCCACTGAAACTTCACAGAGCTAGGCAAGGGTTCTCCAAGCTTAGTTTAGTTTCAACTTCCACAAACTCTTGAAAAGTATTTTAGGCTCTATCAATGGAGATTATCTCATTTAAATAGACATAGCACAGTTAGTCACACACAGCAATGGATATATTCCAGTTCTACCCTTTTACTCCTTTTAGTGTTGAATTGCTTTACCTTTCAAATAAACTGTACTTTGTTCTTCGTTTTCCGTATAGTCCACTGGGTCTGCCTGGTTTCCAGGTGCATTTTATTATCAGAAAGTTGGATGTTTCACAGCTGAGGTTTTGGGGAATATCAGGGGCATCTGTAGCATGAAAGAAAACCAAAACAGTTAGCTGATGTTTTGCCATCCTAGTGTGACAGTTGGGCCGCTAGCTTCCTAAAAGCATCACCATTTGTTTTCGCTGGGTCTAGATTGTGTGCCTCACAAATACATGGTAATAGTTATGCTCCAAACATATAAATAATATGCTCTAAAAAAATCCCAGTAAAACAGATGGATAATTATTAGCAGCCCCATCTCAACTCTAGACTTCTAAGTGGGTGGGTAATCTGGTAAATCACATACAAATATGTTCACAAGCTCCAGGCTCTGACCTGGAAGTGTTTCACTGAAACTCTGCCAAGACTTTTCCAAAATTCTAAGCATCAGTTTAGCTGCTGAGCAATGTAGGAGTGCTGTCAGCTGTGCGTCACATTTTCTTACGTGCCAGCCCCACCACTGATTTGAATTCTTCAAGCAAGTAATGTCAAGAAGATATTCCCTTTAGCATGAATTCCACACTGAATTTTGAAGTTAAAGCAAGACCCACATGGCTCATCCTCTTCACCACTGTTTCAGAAGTGCCCACCTTTTTCTTTTAAAGCTTGTTCTTTGCTCTCATACTAGAGCAGTGTTGAGTGCCTTTGTGGAGAAGATGGGTAGTAGTCCCAACAGAGATGGTAACCATGCTAACGTGAGACTAAGCAGAGCACTTATTTAAGGTCTCATACACTTTTGTCTAAGAAGTAGCACAATAATATCCATATAGCTGCCCTAGAGAAGGAGCACAAATGCAAGAGGCAACAGTGGCAGGCTTAGCTCAGATTATGAGCAGCAGGCCAAAAAGAACACTTATTTTGCCAGACCAAGGCTTAACCAAGGTGGTGTGCTCATGCATTTACTTTCTCAACCTTTTCTTTCCCAAATGTCTCTCATCAACAAGAGCATCATGACATGTCCTCTCCCTTCCCACCAAGTAGGTACCACAAGAAGCAACACTGGCAGGGAACAGACATCCCAGCTCTTCAAAAACCACTGTATGGGAAAAACCTATGGGATTATTAGAGCGTTTGTTTATGAACCATTGATTTATTTACCTGAAGATTCTCCCACAAAAGCAAATACTGCACAAATAACGTAAAAATGCCATCTCACTGAGAAGTCATAAAAGATTGGATTTTGTTTTGCATTTGCTATTACACATTTAATACACAAAGTCAGTGACAGGAGGCACAGGCTGGAATTTGGAACACACTTTCAAAATGAGTCCAGTTTCTTCTTTCCCTCAACCCCAAGGACCCTAAGTTCAAAGGCAGACATTTGTAATGCGGAACAGGATTCTAATGGCCAGCCATTGGAAGATGATAACTCTCAAAACCCCTGTGAGGAAAACACACAAAGCTCTGAGTTGACCAATTTTGGGAAAGAAAAACTGGGTATTTTCAGTAGTTTGTTTTGAGAGGTATCATTATATATAGAAGAGATTTCTGAGGCTGGTATGGTTACACAGCGAAGATACACAATGATTCAGTATCTTTAAAGAAAATACTAAAAGCATGTTTAGAAGATTTTCTAGGAAAGAGAAATTAATGTCAGCTGGGTTCCTTTGCTGTAATTAGCTCCCAGGGAGCTACTGCCCTGGATGAGCATCTGTTGTTGTTACAAGTCTAGCTGTTTTATTGTCTTCATCTGACTGGTTGGTAAATGAATGTTTTCACTTACAATTCTTGCCCTCACTCTTGTCATGGACCAAACTACAACAGATATATACCTAAACTGATAAGAGACTGGGAATGAATCTTCATATGGTAATAAACTACTAAGTATTCCAGTTCATGAAAAAGTGCCTTACAAAAAGTTATCAAGGACGGAAGCACTGGGCCAGGTTGTAAGAGAAGAGGGCTTACATGGGTACTTCCTCATCCTCCCAGCCTTGCTGTGTTCTCCATGGGCTGCGGTTTCCACAGTGAAATCAAATGACTACAATCATAGTTCATCCTCAGAAACCAAAGACCAGAGGGAAAAAGCCACAATAATGTTTCTTTCCTAGCAGAACCCTAAGAGTCTCAAAATTATTTTTATTTTCCTAAGGTTAGTAAACATAATGATACATACATCCTACAAACAAGACAGTTCCATCCATCTCATCTTCGGACAGTATGCACACTACATTTGTCCCACTGGTATCTGAAGCACTGGCATTTAGCACTCTGATTGCACTGCTCCGACTGCTCAGACGTATCATTGGGTATATTTCTGATCCATAAGTCATCCGTTGTACCTGCTGTCCTTCTTCATGGACACAACAAATTGTCACATCTGAACCTACTGCCACCACAGTGTCCTGAGGGAACACCCCACTCCCACTGGGCTTGGTATCTTTCCCTAGTAGAGAGGGAAGAACAGAAATCAAAACCAAACAAAAAACCCCACATGAACAATTTGGTATAAACACGGTGCTGATCAGCTAAAACGTTACTGAGGAGCACTCCAATACATACAAATCAATGTTTACTAGGATTCATTAACTAATGATCACATTATTTCTCTAATCAAAACACCCCCAAAAGCAGCATCCCATCACTGCCTAATGCTTTTCCTCTGATTTTGGCTTACTTTTCCTAAAGCAACCTAAGTCCATGCAGTGGCAAGGGAACAAACATACCAGGGACCTCTTCTACTGGGCTCCAGTCACTCCAATCCTTGGGGCCAACAAACTGTGTTACATTAATATAACAGCGAATCTTCACATAGTGTGATGTACACTCCAAAGGCATATCTGATGTCCAGTTCCAAGAAAGAATGGTGTCTTCATGAGTCAGTTTTGAATAGTAAGTTACCTATAAAGTTTTTCCCCAAGAAAAACAACCAAGAGAGAGTTTATGAACACCTGTTAGTATTGACATATAATCTCCCAGGTGTCAACAGTATGGCAATTTAAGTGAAGTAAATCATAAAATCCTGATAGATAGGTTGTCTCACCTAACTTTCAGTTGTGTTGTGAATTTACTTGGACAAAAGCCTAAGATGCTAAACAGCCCACCAGCCATGTAGACTGCCAGCCAGAAATACCAGAGGGCAGACATTTGAGGGGGAGCAAGAAGCTCACCAAGCATTTCAAAAGGTATATACTGCATCCCAGTATCCTGGGCCTCTATCCGTCAGGGAAATATTCCAACTTTTCCAAAATTAAACTCTTCTAATATTAGACCCAGGCTGCACATTTTAACTTTTTTCCATTCTTAAAAATTATAGAACAGAGCTACAAATTGGCCTGGAATAACTGTGGTTGCAAACAAACCAATCAAACTGAACATTCAAAGACCACCAGGACTTGAAACACTGCTGGAGAAGTAAAGCAGAGATAATGGTGTAAAATATCTGCCAAATTCATAAGCAAGTTCTAATTATAAAAAACAAAACAAAACAAACTGTACTAGATCTAAAAAAAAAATAAATGCTGTGACTATGAATAAGTACTGACAGTATAGTAGCCAGTGTCCTCGTAACTTTGAAATTTAGTAAGTTACCTACCAGATGCATGATGACACTCAGGTTCTGCAAAGCTCTACAATCTTCATTATTCTCAGCTTTCTTCAAATGACCTCCCAGAATATTACCAAAGGCAAAAATTGTTTGTATAGTTTTCATAAAGGAAAAAAAGGACTTACTTGTGTGACTTTTTCCATTGCTTCTTTACGGAGTATCTGAATCTGCCAAAAGGCATCCAGTCCATACCTGAAGACCGATCCATTATCACTCCACTTCAGATTTAATGTGGAAGTTGAAAAATCAGGTGTTAAACTAAGAATGCGTGGAGCAAGAGGAACAAATGCTTGAAAAAGAGAGGGAGAAAAAAGCCATAGTCAAGTCATTAGTCAGCAACAGCCACAGCTCTCTGCTCTGATCTGGCTAGTAGCCATACAAGCATGTAACTCAACCTTTGTAATAAGAACAAGATGGGCTCTGTCATTACTTGAGCAAGAAAGTTCCCAGGAAAGCACAGGTGCTGATGAGTCACCAGGTAGCATTTTCTTTTAACATCTCAGCATGCAGATGTGTGCGTAACTGATCATGAATATGACTCTTCATAATGCATAGTAAGGAAGACATCCTATCTTTCACAGCCTTCATTCAATGCCACAGAGATAAAGGAACCATGGCGACAGCCTTTGAAGTGTACATGAGAACACATCTAGGGAGGATGATGGAAAACCCTCCAAAGGAAGAAGTGGGTTTTGGTGACCAGCAGGGAAGAGGGAACTTGCAACAAAAGCAGGAGTAGGGAGAAAGGAGAACAGAAAAACAGGATGGAAGAAGCTCACATGAGGCTCTGAAGAGGATCATGGTGAATGTGATTTTAAGCTAAAAGAAATATTAAAGGTATGACGTGGTGATGGGGACAGGACAGGAAGGTTAAACCGAAGCACCTCTTCTATGAATGTGTGCTGCTGAATCAAGAGGCTGCAAAGCAGGCAAGGATTATGGTAGTAAAAAGGTTATGGCAGTTCACTGGGCCTGGTGAAGGATAAATCCCATTTCTGAAATGTGTGATTTATCCAACTTTGGTCCTGGCCAAGGCTCTGAGAGCCTGTAAGGTGTTCAGCACAGTCAACACACTACCCAGGATGAACCTGAGAGAGACATCCTGCCTGGAGTGAGCAAGATGCTGGAGAACCCAATGTGTTGACCACATATTTTTGAGTTCTGCTTTGTTAAAGTTCTTGAGCTGCAGTCAACTGAAAACTGAGCCATGAATAAGAACTGCTACTGACTTTAGAATTTGACTGCACTAAAGGAATAAGCATGCAAACCAAAACCAAAGACTAAATTATGAGCAATTGTGGCAGATAGTGTCAATGCCATCTTCATTTTACAACTTCCTCCTTTAGGGGGAAGGAATTGGGAAAAAGTTTAATTTATCTCTGACTCCAATATTACACAGCCTACCTCCCAAGCATAAATGTATTTGCTCAGTTTCATATACATTTGAACAGAATAGGTAAGTTAGGCATATATTAAGAAAATATGATCCTGTTGGGAGTGACATATAACTTCCTTTAAAATGTTGTGAAATTGCAGGAATAAAGTAATTCATTCTGTAGCTATTCAGCATTTAAAATGGGAGAATAGGCACTAGGAAGTTTATTCTGCCTTTCCCAAGCCATGTCTGACCAAATGCACTTTATGCCCCATGCAGGTACCTCAGTATGTAGATTAGGAACTTGTTTACAAATCCTTCCTAATTTACAACTATTAAAAAAAAAGGCAGAGTGATTAGGGGGATGTAACAGTGTTTTACTTTGTTTTCCTCCTCACATTCTGCCCTTGATTTCTCTGCTATGATCTATAGATAAGAGGGTTTTTTTTTCCCCTGGAGGGGGAGAGAAAACAACCTATTATGTATGGTAGATTCATATGAACTCAGTACATCAACATTTTATACACAGGAACACTGCCAAAAAAACCTGCAAGCGTATACACTTCTGAAGCGTTGTTAATCATAGTATAAAGGCCTTATATACATACATAAAAGCCGATACTTACAGATGGCTTTCTTGTGGATTTCAAATTCTTTGGTAGCAAAAGGAGTTCCAGAAATGCTGTTTGTGGTTACTGTCACTGTGCTGGAGCTCTCTGGCACTGGAATCTCAACCCTTTTCTCCTTAGTTTTAAAACATACTGGAGAGGGGAGGTCACTGAAAAAAGAGGGGATTAAGCAGGTATTTCAACTGACAGGAATCTAAGGCAACTTAATTCCTGTTCCTAGGACACTAATAAAACACAAATTCTCTGTATAACAGAGAGGTCCATATCAAGTTTGTGAAGGAGTAAGACTTGCATGGGTTTTGATTAGTATCAGATTAAAAGGCATTCCCTCATCTTTCAAGTCACTTTTATCGCAATGATAGGCTGTGCACTAGTTGTATAATGCAGCTACTTAGTTGTTAAGAGAACACTTTAAAGTGAAAAACTGACTTTTTAACCAGAAGACATTTCTGAAACCTACAGTCACCATGGATCCATATTTCAAAATAAGTAAAATAAAAAAACCCCAAACACAACAGTACCTCCACCTCCCTTTATGTTTTCTGACTCTCTGACCCTCCATTTCTTCTCAAAATGATGGCATATGGGTTCAAAGAGCAGGTTTACCCATCTGTGTCCCCATCTTAGAACAAACCTTTTAGCTCTCTTCAGCTGCTCAGCTTGCAGGGAGAGCAGAGGGCAGGGGAGAGAATTGCTAAGATTCTAGAGGGAAATACAGTCTCTGCATAATGTTTGTGCAGTGCTCAGCACAATGTGATTTGGCCTTTGTCTGGAGGTTGTAGATACATACAGGAAACAATAGTGGATGGGACAAATCCCTTTGCTCATTATCATTGATATGCAACTGGAAAGGCAAAAAATTTGGAAAAATCCAGACCTTCCTCTTGGGGGAACGATGGGAGGAAGGAAAGCAAAGAGAACAATGCCAGACTTCCTGCTGAGGGACTGTTACTCACTTATGAACTGGAACAGGACCCTGTAGCTCCCATCGATGGGAGTCAAGTGCTTAGGCTGAACTTCTAAGATTTATGCAAGACTCTGGGCTAGTGGAGGACAGCTGAGACTTAAGTGGTCAGAAGGGTACTCCTCTACTGAGGTATTATTAGAGGATGTTTGGGCAACTGAAAAAAAAACATCTCTTTCCCTCAGGGAGGTCTGCACGAAGCTCAGCCCCCAGCCTCTCTGCTTCACAGACCCAAACCTGTTCTGCTTCGCTAAGGAGAAACAGCAGCAGCTACATGATTGTTCGTTACAGGGCAGTACCTCATGAACTCTACACTCCTGAACTCTGGCCGCAATGTCACACATAGGGGTTTTTTTGTATGGAAATGATAGCTGGCAGTGCAGAACATGTAACTAGACACAGAAAATCAAACATGTAGGTGGAAGAAGTGCAGCCAAGGCCTGGGACCCCAGGGACAAATCTGGGCTGCCTGCAGAATTTACAGGAAAAAAGACAGTACAAATATCTGGATTGGGGGCAGGATCAAGATGCAGAAAGGATTTGAACTCATCCCTAGCACATGATAAGCATTTGGCAGACCCACAGCATGGGGAATTGAACATGTAGTTCTCATTAGTGAAAAACACACTAAAGATTTAAGTTTTTTAAATGTTTCTCAAAATTTTCAACTTGTATTCACTTTGGAAAAGCTATTGTAATTGTGGCATAATTTTTATGTTTCCTCTAATACAGTGCTCTCTAAACAGCTTAAAATTTATAAAGGTTGTAAGACAGCCACCAAGAGATTTTTCATGTTTTTCCACATGTGAATCTCAACACTTATGTCATATATCCTACTGGTTTGGCCCATAACATTAGGATTCGCTTCTTCCAACTATCATTTCCTTTTGGATTGAACCTGGTATGAAGATGTCCCTCATGAAAACTCTGAGCAAGGGCTAGGCAGACACACATAGAAGCCTGAGTAAATGAGAGCATCTTCCAGTCCTTTGAAGAGAGCAAGCAGATTTTGGCAGAATTGTTAGCATGAAACAAGACTTTGCCAGAAGCCCCGCCACTGCCTGAGTTACCAGTGCCTGGAGGGAGCACCACCCAAGGAAAACTGACTGGGAGATGCTGGGAAACAACAGCATCACAAATTCCATGGTCAGTGACAGAGGAATAACTATACTTTCATCACAATTTGTTAGTTTACAACCAGGTATACAGGGGACTTACTTGGTAGTGTAGCAAAAATCAGTTTGTCCGTGTCTTCCTTTAGAAGAGACATCCCAAGTACAGATCATTTTATGTAAATTGTGTGTTACACATTTCAAATTCTGGGGGTACCCCAGAGAACCTGAAATCATATAAGAATTACAGTCACAAACTGCAGGTCAAAAATGACCAACTGTAAAACAACTGCTATTGTTCACATCTATGCCCATTCTTTCTACATTTTTATTGTAAACGTCTGGCCAGTATTTTAGAACTGCCGAGTGATTTGTGTGCCTGATTATAGACAGCCCATAGGCTACCAGATTTCTAGAAGTATCTAAAATCTGGGTTTATACTTGTGTGCAACAACGCAGGCAGCTGTCTCTTTCCACAATACCCATTCCTAGCCTAGCCTAGTAAAAAGTCTTTGGGCCAATGGCAAAACCGCATGCTTTGGTGACAAACTTCATGAGTTTTTTCCTCTCCTCCATTGTCCCACATGAAGGGCAATCCATGACAGAAAGACAATTAATGATAATGTGTGAAATTGTCAGAGAGAGTCAACATATACATCAAGAAGGTCTCAATATGGACATTTACACCAACTGCATATCCAGACTCACAGTTCTTTATGGAGAATTTAACACCTAATTTTGCACTGATTTGCAAGATGACACTGGGTGCTGGAAAGCAGAGACCAGGACTGTTAGTAAGTCCATCCCTAGGGTGGTGTGGGACCACAGAAGTGACAGATTTTGAACATACATATAGTAGGAAAGCAACGTAATTAAATGGTGTCAGTACAGAAGATACAAAGAAAAAGTAATTAGTGAATTACATTGCAATGAACTTACCTATCTCTTGACTATATATTAAGCTTCTTAAACATAAAACAGCGAATGTGAAAAGGCAACGGAGTCTTGAATTCTTCCACATTCTTCTACTGTTTGTTTTCAGAACAGCAGCTTCAAGCAGCAATAAAGGTCATCTTCTAACATGCTGGTCAGTTCTAAAAATAAAAACAAAACCAAGAAGCTCTTGAAATTCCAGAGCTGGTACTCTAGAAATGCCACTTTTTGTTCCATCTACTTTTCTTCTTTAGTGCTGCTCCCAGGCATAGCAACTCCTTTTTCTTCATTTTCTGGCAAGAAAACCTTTTCACTGTCCCAACAATTTATTGACGCATATGTTTTCAGTGAGACATTTCAAACATGACCACAAGAATCACAGACATATAAAACACAACCATCCACAGGCCTTGTTCAAGACTATCTGTGGCCAGAACATAATAGACATGGCAGGGTATTACCCTACAACAGGTCTCTTCAACTTGGATGAAATGTCACATTCACAAAGGGTCTTGTGTACTGTGAATGGAAACGTGCCCTGCTTTGCATATGGGTTTAAGGGGACAGGAGAACCCATCTGTTTTCTGCTCTCCTCTGCTCACTTTACACATTGCTGTTACTCAAATTTATGGGATGCCTGAGACACTGCAGAACAAAATCTGATCACTGGTTCAATCCAGTGTTAAGTAAGAATGTCTGGAGGAAAAAAATGGGAAAAAATGAGAACCATTTCTCTACCGAAAGATACTCATTGCTGTAAATACTGACCTTAAGGTAAAAACTATCTTGAATATTACATTTAATGTGTTCTCTGAAGATTAATGGGTTGCATATTTTCTGAAGAGAAGTTCCACTGTTAGCAGGACCCAGGGAACACTTTCAGTTCTACCCTCATATTGGCCACTACATTTTTTTGTGATAAAAAATGGTAATTTTTTAATAAATAGGAAAATAGACTTAATAATGGGAAAATAGACAATAAATTTAATAATAGTATTAAATGATAAAAATGATAAAAAATAAAATTGCAGGAAATCGTATCTTAAAGTCCAGCCAATCCCTTGTGCACAGTTTCCCTGCCACCTGAAAGCTCTGAAGCCTTGAGCACCCTCCCAGACACCATGACTTCCATATAGCAAGGGGCCTTCTCGCAGTGACCAACAGCATGAGCTGGATCATTTTCACATAAGAACATACCTGAGCCAGCCGCTCCCAAAGAGCAGTTTTGTAAAACTCCCATTTTGTCCAGGCTACTTCTTTCAAATGGAAAGGCTCCTGACCTTGTCTTAGAAATCTCTTCCAAAGCCAGATGTACATCATTGTCAGAAAAACAGACTTTGTCTAAAAGCCTCTAATTTTAAAAGAAATCTCTCTTCACTGAAATCCTCTGTGCCACCAGGAGTATGCTCTCTCATCCCTGCAATTCAACCACAGTTTTTAAATTACTTTTTTTTTTAAGGAATTATCCCTCAGGGGACAGCTGGGAATGCCCAAAATGCTCCTCTATCCCTCTGCAATCTGGACTGTGTGAGGAGAAACATATCAGAACTATGTCAAATAACACAGAGTTGTTCACAAGGGGCCACTTCTTTCTCTTCATCTGCAATAACCAGACTGAGGGAAAGGCCCAGGCAGCACAGAAGCTGACAGAAATGATATGGTAGATGTGTTACATCTGGAGGGAATAAACACCCTTAAAATTTAACAATTACTTTATTTTCACCATGTTCTCAAGCCAGTTGAAGACCTCACTAAAACACAGTGATTTAAGCTATACTACCCCAGATACATTCAGTTCTTTTTATATATTCCTAAACTGTAGCATCCATGCCATGCAACTTGTTAAAGGCAAAATCAAGAGTGAAGCTTAACAAAACCATGTAAAGTCAAAGATGAATCAAAAACCCGCCAGCACATAGAACATAATAATCTCTGTGCCAGAGGTCACCCACTGCATTTTGGTGTCTTCTCAGGGCCTTTGTATCATATTTATCCATGTTACTGATGAAAATATGGGATGTTACCTCCAGGTTTAAACCTTGCTCACAAACCTATGACTTCATCAAAAACATGAAGACCATTCAGATAGACCTGGGAGTTACATGAATAAAATTACTGATTTCTATTTGCAGTGTATATGTAGATTATATGTTTGTTTGTGAGTGCATCTTCAGGTGCCACTGCTGGATTGAGGAAAAACCCAAAGTCAAAATTTCAAGTTTTATATCAAAATCACTTGACAGTCCCTTATCAGCTAGCAGAATCCAAAGAAAGAATAAAAAAAAAAAAAAAAAGAAAAAGCACTGATGCCACTTGAAAGAGAGAAAACTGCATTATGAAGTTAATTAAATCCCAAGCCTCTCACTTTCTAAACACATTATCTGTACAGGATTGTGCAAAACCTGTTTAGTCATGCCAGGTTTATGAGGCAGATTCAGCAACTTTGTGTGTATGTGTATGTGTGTGTGTGTGTGGTTGAAGAAAATCTGATTTTCTCCACACTCTTTTAATACATTGCTTCATGAGTAGTCTCCCTACTGCAGAAGTTTTAAAAGTAACATTATAGCAGTGAATTACAAGAAATTTGAGTCATACCAAATTCTCCTATGTCAAGTACAGTTTTAATTTCTGTTTCAGGGTCAGGCACCAAAGGGAACCTATGTACTTTCACGCAGAGCATAATGAGAGTCTTATAAACCACAATCTTTCGTAAGAAGTGTAGACTCCCTGGCTCTTGTCTTCTTATACACATTATACAGCTTGCTGAACAGTTGGAAATTCAAAGCCTCATGTCACATAATTAAATGCCATTAGTCAGGAGAAAATATCCTCATTTATAGGCTTGTTTTAATTAAAAAGTTAAAAAATAATTGAAGTCATTTAAAAATGTGAAGTTCACTTTCTTTGGATGAAAGCTGCCTTCCATCAGTTCAAAACTAATTCAAACAAGCCATAGAGGTTTTTCCCTACCCTGGAAAGATATGAAAAGCATGTTATCCTCTAGACAGATGTACTTTTAAGATGGATAGGACAACATAAGAGTCAGAGATATTTATTTAGGAGAAGAGAGCTCAACGTTGTCAGAAGAAGGGAAAACCTTGACCAAGGCTGGATGGAGTGCAACACAAGCAGTTGCTACTAAGTGTAAACATCTTTACACTGTAAATCCTAATTTTTAAAAAATGGTATGAAGGGGGTTAGCCCATTCTCTCCACCAGAAAGACCAACTACAACTAAACCATTTTTAAAGTTATCCATCTTAAAAAATATCAGCAATAGCACATCTCATTTCCTTGAGCAATTTATTCCTGTCACTTCACTGGCACTATAGGTGCTCCCACTGTGATATACAACTGTCTCCTGCTCCATGTTAAGCACATTAATTTGTCCTACCTCCAGCTGACAAAGAACAGTTTATCCTCTGCCTTGCAGCAACCTTTTACATAGAAGATCATGATACCAGGTCTCTACTAGCTCCTCCCTTAGAAATTCCAAATTTTTTCACCATTTCCCAGTCTCAGTTTTTAGATTTCTGATCATTCCTGGAACAAACATGGAACAAATTTGCTGTATGCTCAGCTTTTAAATATTTCTGCCCCCTGAGGCCAGAGCATTATCAAGCACAATGAAGAACTTCTCTAAGGCAAACCTAAGCGTAGTATGTGTTTACACAGCCCATGCCATATTTGCTTTCTCCCAGCATTCAGACCTTGTTGACTGAATTTCAGTGTGTGATCCAGCACCGGATACTACTGTATAAAGCTGCCACGTAGCTGTTTATCTAGTACTTCAGACTCCAATCTCATCCTCAAATGGACTGTAAACCTCCTGACTTAGTGTGAATATATTTGCACAGCAAATTTATCTTAAAGGCATTGCCTGAAAAGGTCTTTCACTTTTGAAATCTTAAAATAAGGAAAAAGCCTCCCATAAATCTGTGCCAAGTAACAACATCATGTGTGTAGGCAAAAAGTACTCGCATGCAAATTCATGCCATACCAACAGCAAAGGCATGGCAGGCTTCAGTATATAATTGCCATCTATAAGAGCAGCTACTAAAAGCAGGATTCCACAGTAACTGTTGAAAGCTACAGAACATAGAGATGTCCTGACTTCTGCCCAGGGCTTTATGTTGTGTAGAGGAACTACCTTTCTGCCTGTGGTTAGAAAAAAAAAATAATTTTAAATAGCTTCCTATGCAAATAAGCTAACAAAGGAACAGTTACATTCAGATTCTTAATCACTGAAGCCAGCAGATGGTGGCCCTTATTTAACACAGCTCAATGCCAACTGTGGATTTTTAGATTACTTTTAAATAAGTTTTGCTGCATACAGTGCACCTACTGGTGATCAGATAGGTAAGAGAGGGAAGGTACTCCAAGGCAATAATGTGCACCCTGGAAAATATATGTGGACAGCCTTCCTTCAAAACCTTGTCAGTTGTAAATAAGGTTAAAGGTTCTGTGAAAACTGAGAAAACAAGGGCAGCAGTTCGACAGTAACATGCTAAGATATTACCAGCCTCTTTAGACCTAACCTCTCAAAGGGAAAACCAGAAGATAACTGGTATCTGTCCTACTGACTATGTATATATTTCTTGACTTAACTGATTCTACATATATATTTTTTTTAAAGCACATCTGACCAAATGCTCGATTCTCTTTAAAGGGAAAAAAACCCCTATTCTCTTAGTCAGTTTAGCAGATCAGTTCACTAAGCATAGATGTTCTCCAAAGCTGTGCTCTACTTCTGAGTTTTCTGGGGTCTGAATGTATTTTATTGTCAAATGCTTGGAAACCACTTTGAAAACAAACAAATGAAACAGATAAAAAAATTGAAAATCTTTCTGGCCTGCTTTCTGCCTGAAGTCTAATCTGTCAGTCACAACCCTACAGATGTGTTTTTTAAAATATCTATTAATTGAAGAACAGTGGCGACACTTTTTATGGCTATGTTTGTGCTCCACAAGCAGATACCTAAAAAGAAATGGTTAAAAAGTCAGCTTATACAAAAGGTTTAGGGAAACTTTAAGTGGAGAATACTACATGAAAGAAGTAAAAATATACGTATCAAACATAATAGAAGAAATCTGTCAATAAATTTTCTCAAAGTACGATTTATTTGCTTTCTCTCCACAGTTAAAAGTATCATCATAATAATT